CTCATATGGAACAAACAAAGAGCCTCAAAACAGACAGCTCAATGGTCGATTTTTCGGACTTCCACGGTGATGCGACTATTATTAGGACTATGAGTCCGGCATGGTGCTAGTGTTCGAGATCTACAATTTGTTTGATGCAAATGCAGCTCTAAAGTGAGTAGATTTCCTGCTACCTGGTGAAAAGGTTGGGATTGGGTGCTGCAACGACCAAAGCGCAGATCAGCTCTGATGAGGGAGGCAATGAAGTGCACAACGGTTAATCAGGTGCACATTATGATCACACCCACATGCACATTGAAATGCGCATTGGTTAATCCCCGCAACTAATTTCCGCTCCTTGAGCCACTACATAGCTGTTAGCATTCACTGTTAGCCCTTTTCGCAAAGAAGTAAATGTTGCTTTTGGACGTGGCGAGAACGCCACAACGCCCACTTAAGTCCCAATTCCCAGAGCGGGTGGGAAAGCCCGTGAAATGAAGCATCCGACATCATTCGCACCCGGGCTGTGGCACTAAATCCGGCTGAAAGGCGCAACTGAATCTCATGGGAACCGCAATTGAATCGCTCGTACTACGGGGCCCGGCATAATTCACACTCAGTACTACACAACAATGGCGAGTAATTGGCGGTGAGAGCCCGGCCGGTCAGCCGGAGGCCACGCTCTGCCAGCGGTGGGCTCAGGCGCGGCTGCGGCCGGCACTGCGCGCCAGTATAACCCGGCGGCTCCTCGTGCCTCGGATGGGTCAGACTGGCCCCGCACAGCACAACATCGGCCTGCGGACATAAGTACCGCTGAAGTACCCGGAACGCCGCTGTTCCGCTGACAGGTCGGCACTGGTGTGCGAACGGTGGCCCTGGGGTCCGCGCAGACAGCGCTATCCAGGCCTGAAGGTAAGCCAGGTGAATCAGAAGGACAGTCGTGACGAAGACGGCGCGCCACGTTCCGATCTCCATTTTCCATTTGGTAGCTAACCGCATTTATCGTTTATATATATATATATATATATATATATATATATATATATATCGATAACATATGATAGTAAGATGGTTTTCCATTTGATAACTAACCGCAAACCACGTTCACGGCACAAATTAAAAGTTAAACGTAACTTGTGTTGGATGAATGCCAACACTAAGCCGACATTTTTAGACATATGCTGGTGGTACTCAACGATGCAATAGCTACCAGGTTTCTCAACCGGAGGAGTGTTATTTGCTTTAACAGCCTAAGTTTAACGGAATATGATGATGTTGCTGCGCCACGATAGTCATCTTGGACATAACTCTTCTGGCTAAGTCGCAACAATTTCAAATGGTAGTGCATTCAGGACACACAAATTTTAGTTCGAAACAAAATGTCTTGCACATTATCTCCTTTGGTATGCATCAAAAGGTCGCCCACCGATCTTTCAAAACCAGGATGTGACTCATAACTTTGTTCTTCTGCCGGACAAAGACAAAAAAGGCCACAGAGAAACCAGCCCTTAGTTGACCTCAAAGAAGACGGGCCACTTCCGGCAATCAATACCGGAAAATAACCAGACAACTCGCTGCCAGTGAACTCGCCCCACTAAGTTTCATTCCCAGACGAGGGCTATGGAATAGGCACGAGAAAATCGCCCACTGGTGCATGAGCAAAGACCATAATGATTCAGGAAAGGCCGTGGACGAGGGCGCCGGACAAAAGACCGCCAACTCCCGGCAGCACGACCAGTACCGAGCAGGGGCACCTCGGGGCACTCATTTACCCGCGCCAGTCCGCTAGACCCAGACGGGCGGGTCACTGGTAGTGATGTCACTTAGGGCTTGGCTGATCGCGCCCGCAGCCAGCCCAGTCCCGGCGCCGGCTGGTCTGACCGCCCCCCCCCCCCGCAGTCAGGCCAGGCCAGGCCAGGCCAGCCCTGCTGCCGCCGACTTCAGCGTCCGGCCGTGCACCGTTGCCGGACGAGCGACCAGCGCTCCACGGTGGAGCGCCGCTGCTGCACGGCCCCCGTGTACACGGCGGCACCTAGCGTGATATCCAGTGTGCCTGCCGTGCCCGACGAGAGTCAACGGGCCACTGACTGGCCGACACGCGGCGCCTCTCCAGGGACGCCCGCCGACCGACGGACACTCTCGTATTCCTGTGCGTGCGCCAATTACGCCGCGTGACTGACCAGCGTCCCGCCCGTCGCTGCATTATCACATCATGCGGCGTAACACGGCGCGCGGCGCACCCTGTGGGTCCGTCCGCCGTCCAGAATAGACCGCGACGGGTGGAGCTGGCCGACCGGACCACCTCCGTCGCGGAGGGCCTCGCGGGTCATCCATCTCTACGCCGGTCACGGCTTCTCGTCCCCTCCCCCTGGCTGGCGACTGGGCGCCGCCGGGCTCGTTACGGCGCCGGCAATTAGCCTGCGGGCGCGGGCCGTCCGACGGACCAACGCGGCAGCAGTGGGACGCCGTAGCCCGCGGGTGCGGGCGTCTGACCGCCGTCCGACCGACCGGCGCGGCGGCAGTGGGACGCCGTAGCCCGCGGGTGCGGGCGTCTGACCGCCGTCCGACCGACCGGCGCGGCGGCAGTGGGACGCTGCAGAGGCCGGCCGACACGGGCCGGCCCGTTAGGACGCCGGTCGCGGCCTGCGCGGCTGCACAGAGGCACGCGCCTCCTCTGCAGTCGGAGAGAGTCCGACGGGGCCGTGACCCCGCCGACTAAACGCCGGCTAACGCGCTGACCGGGCCGCGCTCCGAAGCTCGGCTAACCGCACGCGGCGATGGCGGCGGCGGCGGTGCCCGGTTTGCTCGGCTGGCCGGTGAGCTCAAGGAGACTGGATTGACGCTCTCAGAATGACTTACCGCACCGCAGACCACGGTTCGGCGGTTGTGCTTATGGATTTTGACGTGTAGTATGGAGCGCTTATTTGCACGCGCCACACGGGAAGTGGTACGACGATAGACGGTGGCCACGCCAACAGCTAGATCAAAGGCACACTATTCCCGAGAACTGAATTTTTCATCGACCCTCAAATTTTCAATCCGTTAGCCGGCGCACAAGGTCGCGACGCTGGCGGCCGGCACGGTCACGTGCGAGGATAAATCTTGTAGCTCGGCCAGCGGCCGGCCGGCCGGCCGCTCCAGACCTCCCAGCGGCGCCCGTGATGCCGCCGGCCGGCATTCCCAGCGGCGCGATCTCGCACTCTGCTGGCGATTCCGCGCGGCGTCGACAGTAGGGCGGCCGTCGCTAGCCAGGACGACACCTGCGCCCCTCGGGCCCCAGACGGGACCTCGCGCGGCTACCAATCCGCCGGCCGATCAATGCAGGTGGGCCCGCCGTCCAGCGTGGTTGGCTCGGCGCGCGCGGCCGCACGGGGCGCGAGGCGTTTTTGCGGAGCCGAGAGGCTCCGGCGTGGTGACCAGCAGTACCGTTAGCGGCCTCTGCACGGCACCTGGAGACGCGGCACGCAGCAGCCAGCCGGCAGCGGCGGCACCTGAGCGCTGGCCAGAAGCGGCTGGTCGTAAGGCCAGAGACTTGCCCCGAGAAATGTCATGCGGTGAGAAGGGGCAGCAAAGCCCGCAGTGCAGAGCCACTGGACGGGAGAGGCCAGCGTGCACGGCCGAGGAGCGACCTCACGTCCGTAGGAGGCAACCGCATGAGAACATGAATGAATGTGCGGATTTTGGGAACACCGGCGGACGAACGTGCGGTACATTAACAACGAGGCTGCCGCTGAAAGTCAATCGCGGGGCAGTTTCTCAACATCATGTTCCGTTGTTGAGGAGAGAGCGTCACTCACATGGGCACGTCAGCACGTGGCCGACCAAAGCCTCAGTCCGCGTTGGCCCCGCCGACAAACACCGGCCCAAACCGGTCTCGTGGTGCCACGGCACGGCCGGCGAGCGGCGCTGGCGGCATGTCCCGAGCGGCATTTCCGCCTGGCCGCCCTCCAGGCTGCAAAAACCGCCTGTCGGATTCTGTTGCGGAGTATCGTGTGGCGCGGCTGAGCGCTGACGTGACGACCGGCCTCGGGGCTCGGGGGCCGCGTGTGGGGGTGGGGGGCGGACAGGCGACTGAGCCGGGCTCAGCGTCGCTCAGACATTGGCCTCTGAGACGGGGCGGCGCGCCGCTGGCGATAGTACAGCCGGGATGGTGACGACGCCAGGGGCGAACCGTTACCAGTGTTACGCAACGGACTGGACCAGCTCGCACGTCGGACATCGCAGGACGTAACAGACAAAGCCAAGGCGGCCACAATAGACGGTGAATAGACGCGAGGGTCTAAATCGCCAAACTGAATCGGACTGCGGAGTCATCTTCCAAAGAAAAGGAGCGTATCGTAACGTATAAAGAATATCGGCGTGCCCGCCCGCTGCCTGGACAGGACGTGTGCCTAGCACCAGCTAAGGCTGACATCCCTCATCATCAGCACAACTGCTCCGTTAGTCTCCCATCCCGCCCCAGCCTGTCGGAAGCTGACCCAGTCAAATGAAGGATTCCGGAGCGGACGTGCTGTATGGAGAGGCCGCGCACGATACCGTCCGTCAGCTCCAAACGGGAGTCGGCCGCCAGTCCGGCCTCAGACACCAGTCGCATTACCATAATCCCGGTCCGGCGTGGCGCACCGGGCCCGCGCCGCTCCCCGCACCCAGGCAGACCGCCAAGGCGATTTTCACCTCCGCTGCCTGCCTGTTCTCAGAAGGCTGGCAGAACTGTTGTGAGCGAGCAGCGAACAGCCGCAAGAGCGGCTAACACTCACCAAGTGTGCCTGCTGTTGCTGCTGTTGCTGCTGCTGTTGTATCGGTGGCGGCGGCGGCGGTGGCGGCGGTGGAGGCGGCGGCGGTGGCGGCGGCGGCGGCTGGCGGGTGCCGTCCGGGCCCTGGCTGCGGCTGCGGTACTGCGATGGCAGCGTGGCGGCGCCGGTGGTGCCGCGGGGTGGTGCCGCGCCGGCCGGCTGCCGCGGCAGTGTCAGAGCCGCCGACGCTGGGCCCCGAGGCCACGGCCCCGGCAACGCGGTGCCCGCTGGCGGTCGCGACGCGCCGTCCGGCCGGCCGCCGCGAGTCGCCGGCGAACCCAGCTGACCCACCGGCAGCGGGCCGTTCAGGTGAAGGTTAGGTGCCGGCGACAGTTTGGGCCGGTGCACGGCCGGCGGCGGGTGGTGCAGATAGCCGTTCGGGAGAGGTGGCACACCATTGTGCTGCGACCGCTGAGAGCCCGCTGGCACCAGTTCGATGCGGACTGACGGCGTCGAGTCTGAAACAACGGTATCGTCAGGTCGGTGCGGATGTTGTGCCGGGTGGGATGACCCATATTCCACCCACCCATCCCTTCTGATTAACACAGTTGGCTCCAGCGAGTGAAGGGATGGCGTTGATGAGATACCGTGGTCGCTATGTGATACCAGATCTAATTTAGGGCCTAATCTCAATACTTCTCCTGACACACAACCATCCAGTTCGAAATTTATTTCACCTAGAAGGAAAAGGTCATCCCCTAACGAGGAGAAAGCATCCAGTTTGTTTTTAAAGGACTTGACCTTTCGAAACATGTATGGTTTCTATTCTGGAACTACACATAATTCAATGGAGACCCGAGGCTCGTCTTTTAACCAGTCTCCAGCATCCACCCTTCTTTTTACTGACGCGGAAGCAAAACTTCTTCCAACTTCTTCCCAACGATAAGCTCTCACGCTCTTTTCAGCGGGCCGATCAACGAAAAACACCTCCCTTAGCCCTGCTCAAGAGAGAAACTGAACTGGGAGCATCCAGAGGGCCAAATAATCGCCCGTGGGCGAGGCAGCGTGTGGGAAACTGCCGTCGGCAAACACTCCAACTCCCCGAGGAGAGAGCACAGGTCGGCCTGCACCAAACCCATCCACTCGAAGGCGGATCTTCTGCCTCTGGCTGAGTGGTGAGCGCCGGCGACGCGGTGGCGGTCACGTCCCAGGCTGTTTTCGGAGGCGGGACGGCGGTGGCGGCTCGGCCCGGGGCACAGTTTACGGCCGGGCGGGCAGCGGTCAATAGCGCACGTCTGGTGGCCGCCGAGACCGCACAAGCGCCGGCGCGCCGCCCCGCCGGCCCGGCCGCCCGGGTCAACGCTCCTCCGTCTGCATGTTATGGGCCGCCTGCACCGGCAGCACAACCGGTCGGCCGGCCGGCAGCAGCGGCGCCCGGTCCGGCCGGGCAGCGGTGCGAGGAGAGCCGGCCGCGCCACCGGCCGCGACCGGGCCGAAAGCCAACGCTTCATCGGTCGAACACCGTGCGGCTGGTAGAAGGGAGAATATGAGTGTCCCGTGGACCGCGGGAATGGCTAAAAAATGCAGGCAATGTCGTGGGCGGTCCCCATCACAACTAGCTGCACGTTCATTTCTTGGTTTCAACGCGCTTTGACGGCGAAGACGTCCGCGTTGACCATTAGCCCTGGTTTCACAACCCCGAACACGCACCGGCGGCACCAAACAACTGCCAAGCCTTCGCTAGCCTTCAGCGACGGGAGGTCGAAACGAGGCGAACGGAGCTGACCACGCTCAGCGCAGCGGAACGCGGCAGCGTGGGCCGGACAGTGTCGCCTGTCCACCGCTGGCAGCGGCGCGTAACGGGACTGGGCCGCAGCGCGACGCCATACGCCGAGTGCATACCTCAACTCCCACGGGGGCTCCGTTTGTGGGCCGCGACCCACGCGCTCCCGCCGGCAACTCTACTAAGGACATTAATTCAGCTATTACGGGCATAAGCGGCGCGTTTAGTGACCGCCGACCGCTATGTGGCGCACCTGCTCAGTAAGAACGCGCGTCAATATTTTCGTGTCGGGCGCAATCTAGATGTAAATAGTGCGCGTGGGCTGCCTGGCGGCCGGCAGTCGGCCGGTTCCGGGTGGCACGCGGCGGAGGGGGTCGCCGCTGGTGCACCCGGCCGGCCCGGGCGGCCTCCTAACGGACGCGCCGGCCATCGGCGCGCTGACCCACTCCGTGTCATCGGGCCGGTGGGGCGGGCCGGCCGACGCCAAGCGGGCCGGCTCGGCCCCGGCAGGTCACCAGCACCGGCACGACGGCCCCAGCCGAGCCGGGTGAGAGGTCACAGCCAGCTGGCACGGCACGGACCGGGCGCCGCCCGACCGGTCCAAATGACACGACGTCGGGCCGCAGCCGGTGCCCAAATACAGATGCCAACAAGCTTCGACATCCTTCATCACCCGAACGACAACCTTTCAAAGCCCCACACAATGTGAAGCGGCGTCCCCAACGGAGTTGCACGCTCGCTCCCTATCGCCCGACAGCTCCCAGGTCGGAGCGGTCGGAACCCTCCATCGGTTCTGCGCCGAGCTCCACGAACACCGCCCCCTCCCCACCGGCGTGCTGGCAGAACATCAGTGAGGGGACCCAACATGGCTAACTCGGACCTCTGGTTCATGAAGCAGCGTCCCGACGTGTGTCCGTCGTCCCCAACATGGCCCACGTCTCGTCCGAGTCGACTCAAACACCACCTGCATGGCCTCACAGAGTCTTCAAATTAGTCGAAACTGCAAACACCAGCCATGGGCGCCGAATGAAGAAAAAACTATTTTGACGTTTCAGACTACGAAACATGTATGCCCACGCCAGTGTGCAAACTAGAGTAGGTTTATTCAACGACATGTTTTACAGTCTGACCTAAGTCCAGAGGCGGATGTCGTCCTGGGAAGGTCAGCCACTTCAGGCATTTGAGCAAAACCACTATGGCCATTGAGTCAATAATACCAACACAAACATCGGCTTCATCATGCTTTACCCAGTCAAAATATGTCATCACATTGCACGTCAAAACTGCATTCTAAATATATCGGGAAGCTCAGACAGATGCATGTTTACAGTTCATAAAATGGAGCTCCACACATGTATTACCTTCGCTCGGTTGACTCACTGCCGTCTCCCTGACAGACAAACGTCCCTACAAATCAAATGACAATTCCCTCGCTCAGGGGGCCACACCTCTCAGATTAACGACCTTCGCACAGCCTTGATCGCGACACATTAATTATTCGCCACGTAGCGCTGATGTCGTCCAGCGCCGGTCCACTCACCGAGGGCCGGCTTCCCACACGACAGGCAGCACTGCTGACTGAAGAACTCGTCCAGCTTCTGCCACATGGCCGGGCGGACGCGGACCGCCGCGGCTGGCGCGCGCGATCGCTCTGCGGCACGTCTGCGGGCCTGTGGCGGCGGAGCTGAGTGCCGCGCGCACGCTCCGGCCGCCCGCTGCCGGCGGACTGAGCGGAGCGGGCGGCGGCCGACCGACCAGCCGCGGCGGGCCCGGTCGCTACCTCTCCTCATATTGATCACATGTAGCGCCGCCACAGCGCGGCCGCCCGGCTGACGGCCGGCCTGGCGCCGACAGATCGCATCTTCGCCGACAGGCTTGCTCCGCGGCGCGGGCAGCGCCGGGGGCGAAGGGGTCGGGGACTGTCGGCGCAGACCCGGTCGGGTCCGGCGCTGCCGCCGGCGCCAGCGAACGGACAACCGTGCCCGTCAATCGGCGCCACTCGCCCGGGCCAGACGCGGCGCGGGCCTGACGGCTGGTGGCTCGGGGACCGGTGGCATGGGCGCGACGCTCGGGCGGCGGTGGCGCTGTCTGAGGCAGCCGGGACCAGCCAGCTGACAGCACAGAACCGAGGCAAGGCACGACGCAGCGCGTGACCGGCAGACGAACCGCCGTGCGTCAGCAGCACTGTCCCCGCGACGCCTGTTCTGGAGATTCTACATCCTTGATTCTCTTTCTCAAGATGCCTTGCTTAATATGAGCTGCCTCTAGTAGACAGCGTTATATATCCTAGCCCCGGCACCAGGCGTTCGATGACCCAGCCGTGGCTGGGGGCCGGGGCCGGGACCCGGCTGACGGGAAGGACACGACACGCCAAAGCCAGGCGGCCGTGACTCTGACCTCGAGCGGCGTCCGGCCGGCGGCGGCTGCGGCCAATCGACGGCAGCCCACTCGAGTGACGTCAGCGCAGCTGAATGCCCGCCCTAGCGACCCCGTGCGCTGGCAGCGGCAGACGGCTAGGAGTGGGCAAAACACGTGCTGTCGCCCGCAGATGTCGAACGTTGTTCCCAAGAGGCGACCCAACACACAGCTCTAGGCTCAGATGGAAGCTTGCAGACCCGTCACAAGGCTGGTGCTCAAGCTCCGAAAACTCGTAAAACTTGGTTTGAAGCAGTAGGGCCCTGCTGTTCCAGCCACCTGCTGTCAACGCCAACCGGACTCACAGGGGAGTCGGTGGTGACGTTTCTGAAGGCCACGAAACAGAGGCCAGGACTCCGCAGACTCGAGTGCGGTGGTGCTGAGTCCGGCACGAGGGAAAGCGAGCTCACCGCCCGCAGGGTCCATGCCGATTGGATTCTCTCAAATCTTCGGGGCGACCCACTGCTAACAACGCTCAGCATCTAGCGCCGGTGCAGGCACTGCATCGCAATTCCGACGACGTTCATGTTCCGGACCAGTTTAAGCAACCCGGGCGCGCAGACGGAGGACGGACCAATTACTCCAGTCCCAGTCCACTCAGCGAAGTTCCCAAACTGCAGATGGGCGGGTCGGGCCGGCAGCGTCGTCGGTCCGACAGGCAATCGCCGCCGCGGCCGTCTGTAGCGACTCGGGCCGTCGCGCCGTCCTCCGAGCGCCGCTCACGGACAGCTGACGTCGACGACCCTCGGAGGACCAGACTGGCGGCGGCGACGGACACAGGGCTGCTCAGCGCGGGGCGCTGGTGGCCGGCCGCGCGGCTGCCTCCGCCGGGCCCGCGACGTTCGGGACGCGGCGTCCGGGGCCGGCGGGCCGGAAAGCGCCGGCGGCGATGTCTCGGTAATGACGGTCGGCAGCTCCCGGGCCCAGCGCGGTCGCCGCGCCTTCGCGGTGTTTACGTCCCCATTAGGGCCGCGCCGGGTAATCCGCGGCGTGGAGGGCGCCGAACGGGCAGAGGCCGTCGCCATGACTCACAACAAGGCAGGGTGAAAGGGGAGCTGTTATTGTGGCCACCGCCGCGCCTGGCGCCGTGAGCACCGCGCGCGCAGCCCGCAAGCCGCATCATCGAAAGCGGAACGAATCAGCGGCGGCGGCGATGCTTCGCGGCGCCTGGCTGTTTTCAATTCTGTTTTGGTGGCGGCTCCGACGCGTGGGCTCTTACGCACCAGACAAGCGGCTCTCGGGAGTGCCCATCAATCTCACACCAGGCACTCTCAGGAGTGCACATCAATCTCGCCAGCGACATTTACAGGTCAGACGGAG